AAAAAAAAAAGAAAGAAAAAGGCACTACAATTTATTGATCTCTGGTAGCATAGTGTTTACAAATCAGGCTGTTACAAATCAAGGTCAGCAGTTTGAAACCACCAGCTGCTCCGTGGGAGAAAGATGAGGCTTTCTGCATCCATAAAGATTTATAGCCTCAGAAACCCTGTACAGGGTCGCTATGGGTCAGAACCTACTCCACAGCACATAGCCACCAACCACTACATTTTATTAAGGGTGACAGAAGTGGATAGTGATGATGATGTGCAACATGGTGAGCATAATTCATGTTACTATATTAAATGTATAAATGGCTATAAAGGAAGATATGATTGTGTACATTTTATTACTTAAAAAAAAAAAAGCAACAAAAAACTAAAATTGAAGTTTTAAGTCATTAAGGTAAAGACAGCAATAGAACCACTGACAAAAAGAATACATTTCAAAAGGAGTTTATTTTTCAGGGAAAGAAGATGAGTAGAGTTTGAGAAGAAGATGGATTTCATCCATATAGAGGTTAAAGTGGAAAATCATTCATAAAAATAAATGAGCCTTTCAGAAGAATGAGCATAGGAAGAAAACAGAAAACAAGGATTGAGCCTAAGGGTACAGTAGGAGACAAGATTACAAAAGGCAGAGAAGGATGTTCAAGAAAGCATAACTCTAAAAAGGTAAAAACTAAAAAGAGTTCTAGAAAGGTAGTCAAAAGGAAGGAGGCAAAACCTGAAGTAGGAAATGAAGGGGGCTAATTTTGGGTGCGATGCTGTAGATGAGCACTGGACGACTCTTGATGGCTCAAACCCACCAGTCACTGCTCATTAGATACTGACTTGATGGCACTTAGCAACAATAAAAATATTGCATTAAAAATAAAAACAAATAAGAAAACCTAATTTAACATATCCATTACTTGTCAGTGAGTTTGTTGTACTGTGGTGACATGTGTGTTACTGTGATGCTGGAAAGTATGCCACCAGTATTTTAAATACCAGCAGGGTCACCTATGGTAGAGAGAGTGCAGCTGAGCTTCCAGAATAAGACAGACTAATAAGGAGAGACAGACTATTTCTGACTATTTAGTTACTGAAAACCTTTTGAATAGCAGAACACTGCCAGATAGTACCAGAATACTGAACACTGAAAAATGATGAAAAGCACTAGAATATTATCATATAAAGCTAGAAGATGAGTACTTAGGTTGGAGGTCACTCAAATAAGAACTGGGGAGGAGTTGCCTCCTTAAAGTAGGGTTAACCATCATGACACATGAATAGAGTAAAGCTTTTGGGACCTTCACTTGATGGGGCACAATTCAAAATGAAGAAAACAGCTGTAAACATCCATTAACAATCAGAACCTGGAATGTGCAAAGTATGAACTAGAAAAATTTGAAGTTTTCAAAATTAAATGAAACATATGAATGTTAATATCCTACTTTTATTTTATCAATTCATAATGGTGCACAATTCAAAATGAGAAGAAATAGGTGTCAACATCCATTAATCATAAGAATATGGAATGCACAATATATGAATCTAGGAAAATAGTAAGTTGTCAAAAATTAAATGGAATGTATAAATATGAATATCCTAGACATAATGAGCTGAAATGTATTGGTATTGGGCCATTTTTAATGAGACAACCACATGATTTACTATGATGGAAATGACAAATTTAAGAAGAATGACATAGTATTCATCATCAAAAAGATCATTTCAAGATCTATCTTGAAGTACAAAAACTTGTGATAGGACAGTATACATGGAAGATCAGTTCTTTTATGT